AGCCTCATTTTATTTGATAAGAAACGTTATTGTTTTATTATCACATAAAACTTAAAATGTTATTCCAGACACACAAAAGTTGCATTTGGATGAATATAAACATTTTGGAGGCGTTTATTTTTGGACACAAATTCTGCGGTTTAATAAACCTTGGCCTCTGTTATATTTCTTTAAATGTAAAGGATATGTAGTTTGGTGGGACCATATAAATTTGAAAATTAATTTTCGAATCAGTTATAGTAGCATCTGATAAAACTTGGATAAAACTGATTTGAATTTTTTATTTTTAAATTGGTTTTTACTTGGTCATGATAGCTAGTAGGCTATCCGAATTATCTGGCACGTGGCTGAGTTGCAGGATCACCAACTACTTGCAATTCTAATTTTATATTATACAATAAATATATAATGACGTCTGATTTCCAGAAGCAATCGACTTCACATGACGTATAAACAAAGTAAAAATACCCTCTTGAGTGGTGAGTGATAATAATATACACGTACACCTCCAAGTTAATATGCGAGTAACTGTTCCTTTTGGGTTACTCGGTCAATAACTTTCATTTCGATTTTAATTCCATAGTTCATACTTCATTTTATTCCGACTCATCTCTATTAATTGGCAATCGGGCAACGGTCGAAGTGTTTCTGTCAAGCAAGCTAAATGACCGGAACAAAGGTAGGATTATCCTGGGAGCGAGTTGGCCAGTCCCGTTCGAGTAGCTATCGAGATACGGGGGCTATCTTTTTTCAAGGCCAGTCCGGTTAACGGACGATCTTACGCTAAGTTTTCCTTTCTCTACTTTTTATATTAATATTTTATTTCTAATTATTGTTTCTATTTTATTTGTTCTTGCATTTGGTGGTTTGTCTGGTGATTTGTGATTAAACCCGGGATTTTATCTGACTAAACTCGCATTTGTTAATACTATTTTTCTAACAGTTTTGAAATGGTGATATATATTAAAAAGTATTTGGTCGTGTATGTACTTGTTTTAGGGGAAACGGATGTTTTTTAGTCCCCTCACCTTAAATATAGTGACATACGGTGTTAGTCCCCCTCTTCAATGTTATATACTTATATTGTTATTTAGTACTTCTTACTTCATTAACTTATTCACTCTATCCCCAATCGAATCTTATGCAAAAACTTACTCAAATTTTCAATGAGTTTATACGGAAATTGGGTTCGAGAAAATTGCTCCGTGTAGGACTTAATCAAAGCAATTTTATAAAAATAGTACATAAGTATGTTTCTTCCTTCCGTAAGAGCTATGTAGTTCTAATTTTGAAAACTTGATTTTAAATTTCCAATTTTACCCTTACTGTCTATGTATTGCTTGCTATTGAGTTATTATTCGAAATTATTGTCTGTTTACTGACTACTTAATGTCTATGTATTGTCTAGTGTTTGCAAGTTTGATTTTGGATCTGATTTCTTCAAAAGTTTTGCAGAACACATGGGCGTCCACCGCCACATAGTTTATGAAAACAGTAACCCTATTTAGCCATAACTCTGGTTTCATCAATTGGCCTCAAAACCTTTACTCATCGAAGATTGAAGGCCGTCCGCACCCCCGCCAGCCGTATCGCCCCCAAATCTCGCCGATTTAAGGCCAAAACCATCTTCGTGGACGCCATCGAAATCAGACAGAAAAGAAAGAAGAAGACATCGGAAACCAGTGCGCTGTGGTGCGGCGTGGCGGCGGCGGCGACTGGCGCGTTTCGGCGGCGGCGAGTGGGGCGGCCTGGTTTGGTGCTGTGGCGGCCCTTGGTTTCCTGGGTGCGTCCATTTGAAGATGACGAATTGAATTGTTTGATGCGCAGGGGTTTTAAAACGAAGGGCAAAATGAAGGGCAATTTGGTCAAAGCTCTTGTACTTAAGTCCTACCCTAATCTATAGTCTTAATTTTGGAAAATTAGTATGATTAAGTCCTATTTGTTGAAATCTCCCATTGGGTATTCACTCTATCCATCCAGATTTTTCTTTTAAAACAGCATCATCAATATATTCATCTAGCACAATTTTTAATTAAATCTTTACTTTTATTGTACATCACTGCCAATATTTTTACAAATAATTATGATTTTAAAACTCAAAACTTTGAAGTAAAATAAATAAAAATTTGGAGTTTAATTTTTTATTGCTCTTTCAGACATTTTTGAACTAAAACTTGTAATCATGAAATCTTAATTATAGCATTTGGATCTATTTTAGAAAATTTAGTGATGGATAGTGTACCCGGGGGTAGCTTATCCGAGGGGTTATTACGGAGAATAACAAGAGAGAAGGCAGAGCAAATGAGTATAGAGAGAGAAAGTGTATTAGAAAGTATGCAGCGTGAGTATTGTGTCTTACGACTTTTTTACAAATGGGGAAATGGGGTGCTATTTATAGTAGCAATAAATGCCGGACAGGGACACGTGTCAAGCGTCCATTGGCCGAGAGGTCACCTCAACTGGTTGGCGCTGGCAACCGCATGTGGCCGCATTTAATGCGGCTATTGGATGGGACGTTGTACAGGGTACGGTGATCCATACGCATGCGGAGCGGATATTATGTCGGAAAAGGCGCCCTCGGCAGTAGATGACTAGCCGAGGGCTCTGAGTACCGGGGACCCCCTTAGTGCCGAGGGCTCCAGGTGCCGAGGGCTACTGATTTTCGCCGTTTTCCCAGTAACTTTGTTTTCCTGTTTTGACCTTCCTGCGAGAATCAGAGCCTTCGGCCAGGGGGCCGAAGGCACCCCCTGGTGCGCATTGTGGGCTGCTTGGTGCCTTAGGCGCCGTGATTTGGACCTGTTGTGCTTCCTGGGCCTATTGGACCTGTATTGGAGTAGCAGGAGTCTGTGGGCCGGGGGTTCCCGGGCCATATACTCCATCATTTAGACATAAAACCCTCCCGTAGTTGGATCTTCATATTTTTTAACGTTATATACGAAGTATATATATTGGTGTCATATGAAAAATCATAAACAATTATGAAATTTGATAAACTTTATGTAAAAATTGGAGCAAAAATAATTTTTACAATTTTAACCACTGATGGGCTTTGCTTATTTATCTATCACTTGAACAATTCTCAACCACATAATTTTTATTCAAAATGCTACTTGTACATGTCAGCTTACACGCCCAATTACATGCCAAGTATATTTTGTTTGTGTATAGACAATTAATTTTTATTTTAATAAAGGAAATTGTTCGTGACCCTGTATGGATTCTGACTGTAAATAGATAAAGTGGTCATCTACAATATCTTCAGTAAGACAAATTATTCCAACTATACTTATTTTTTATTATAACACAATTTAACGCACTAAAATAAAGTTACGTATTTGATAAAAACAATTGAACAATAAAGTTGATAAGATAAAACTAGAGGGGTTATCAAAATGGGCTTTTAATTGTCAAATGGGTGCCCAATTGACATTTATTATGCTTTTACATTTCTAATTTTTAATGTTTAGTTAGTATTCACCAAAAACCATATTATTTCTCTGAGATTAGAGTTGAGTCATATACTCTCAAGTCTCAAGTCCAATAAAATTTGACCAAAATTGACTTCTACGAGAAATAATAAAGTAAAATGTGTATGGTTAAGATTTATGCAGAGAAAGGAGAACTAATTTTAACTATTCTTTATGACATCTAAATAAAGAATGTTGACAAAATCTCGTGAGACTAAATGAATATTAAGCAAAATGTATGAAACTTCTACTATAAATATGAATCATTTCTCATACTTTCAATTTAAAATATTACAATAACTTTTGAGAAGCCCTGAAAGAAATTACCCTAAATACAAGTAAAAACAATATGAAATTTAAAAAAAAGCATTGTATTTTAAATTATGTCATTTTTGTCATTCTTGAAAAATATAACAATTATGACAGTGATGCCAAAATATAGCAGTAAAATTTCGAAATGAAAGTAAACTAAATTTTCCCTATGAGTTATTCTGGGTCACTTCAAGAGCTCGTTTGGTAGCATTGAAATTGGCTTAATCAGTTTATTTTGCTGAAATTTATGAAGTTCTGACTGAAGTGGCTGGATTGGTTCATTATATTGATTTATGAAAAAATTATATTTAAAATATGTTGTATTAATAAAATAAATAAAAATCTGTATGAAAAATAGCTAAAATGACCATCTACAGTAACTTCATCCAATATAGTCAGAAAAGTAACTCCAACCTTACTTTTCTTATTATTACACAATTTAGAGCGCGAAATCAAAAGTTACGTATTTGAAGAAAAAGTTGATTGATAAGCCGAAAAATAGATTTTACCAAATGGGCCCCAAATTTAAGAACACATTCTTGATTTTTTACAGCTTTGTTTGGCTCCAGGGAAATGCCAAAAAAAAGCAGAATGTTAAGAAAAATCTTTTTGATGCGTCTTAAAATAATGTATGGTGAATGCCATAATATACGTTTGAACTTCTTACCCTTATACGAAGTATTAAATACGTAGTAATAAATTATAATACATGAAAATCCATTTCTAAATCTCATGTTTACTAGTAGTCTTGGAATAGCCTCACAAATCAATCAACTGAGAAAATTTTCTATGTGGAAGGCATCTTATCATATTGGTCCAACAACTCCTATGACTTGTTAAACGGGTCAATTTTGTCACACCTTTGCCCGCAGGCTATGTTTGACACAACGAGCTGAAATGGGAGGCTAATGTCTGAATTATGAGTTATTGTCTGGATGAAAGACTATGGGGTGTTTGGATCAGAAGAAGAAGTTGGAGTGTTTGGGTGAAAATGCAGAAGTGATTCTGGTGCTCTAATTTACTCCTAGAATCAGTTTTTTTAGAAGCTGGGGGTACCAGCTTCTGAAAACTGATTCTGCTTCTGCATTAAAAAAGAAGCAGAAGCAGAATCAGTTCCAAACACCCCTATAATAGATTAGCTTTTCACGTTAGCCACATATCAACTAGAAAGTTTAGAATAGAGAAAGCAATACTAGCTTGAAACAGAGGATCTCACTCAACCTTTCAAATATTCCAGGCAAGAAATTAATTAATAATTATTAACAGTCACAATGATGATAAACTCAGAGCATCTTCAATGAAAAACATGAACGGTGCATACATGACATTAGCGATAGCCAATTAAAAAATAACAAACAGAATATCTCTCTCCTTATTTGAACGTCTTATATGTTTTTGGTAAGTTTTTCTCTACAATGTCAAGCACAATGCCTAGATGTAGACATTGTGGTCGACATTGTTAAGAAAAACTTACCAAAAACACATAAGGCCGTGGACAGATGGAGAGAGAAATGTCAAAAATTTAATCTTTTGTTTCTCTCTCTCTTATGTCACACGTGCACCGTGCACATTGTAGCATTGGAGATGCTCTCACATGCCGAGACAGGGGTGCTCTCGACTAACCAAAGAGATACACTGCAAAAGAACGAAACTAGGCCATATTATGAAGCTTAACACTAACACATTATTCTCTCCTACAACCACAAGACCACTGTTTGGACATAACAATGACAAATCATACCCATCACCAGCACTACTAGGTGACTTCCAAATTTATGATATGATATAGCAAGCTAAGAAGAATCACATAGCAACACAGCCAACTTCATGCTTCCACAGGCATTACAAGTTTGTAGAGGTGGCATCTGGAGTTCCAAATCTAGTCAGCTTTAATGTCTTCCTCATAGCTCTTTGCAATTTTGTTTTGTTCACCGCCTATTTTAGAGCCTTCTTGTAGCTGAAAAGAGCCAGCAGCAATAAAAGAATACAAGTGTTGAACGGGTCGGTCAGTCATTTGTAAACAGAAAGTGTTATCTTTAACATAGCCTCGGGAATCGATTTGCCACATTAACTGACCCATTTTCAGTTAAGTAGCGTTTTTGTTTGTTTCTGTTTGTAAGATAAACTTCTTGATTGTATAAGTGGTAGTGTTTCAAAATAAAACTGATTTGCTTACACAGGAACACCTATTCCAAAACAATAATTTCAGCTTTCATACGCAAAAAAACACACAAATACTTTTTAAAATCAATGTATAGTTCAAATAAAATCTATAGCAAAATAGAACCCTGACAACCCAGGGTGGACAAGGTTTTTGTGAAAGAAATTTAAAGAAAAACACACAAAAAAATGAAGTATGTGGAGTTACCTGCTGAAGGACTTTCTTGTGATAACGGTACCCCTGAGAGATAAAGCCCAAACAAATGGTGTCATCAACACATTAAAGCCCATACAAATTACGGTTGAAAAGAAATAAAAACGTTAATTTGTGTACACTCACCTTATCAGTTCCGTAGATGTAATCACAATAGGTGAATACTGAAGCAAAATTGCTCTGACTTTGACCTCCAACATAATGATGGTAGTCATGATAATCTGGGCCACCATAAAAAGGAATATATTTTGTGGGTGTCCAAGGAAGGTCATACCTGAATCAACACTCTTAAAAACACATGAGTCAAAACAGACAAACTACCATGTTGGAACATATATATAACATCATCGGAGCAAAAACACAAGAATTTTCACAAAACAGATGTGCTTTCTTGTTCATTGATGCTACGATAGATCCCACCAGAGGAGACAGGTGGTTGTGGAATGTAATCTACATCAACCAGAGTCACTCAATCATTACCTCCCTAACAATACACTCAAATTTCTTATGTTATTTTTCTGTTCTATCTTTTTATCTTTAAACTTTCTTATATTCTTATGTTATTGTTATCTTATATGTATCTTTATCTTATCCATTTTGTCTTACTTTTTTTTCCATCATCTTTCTTCTCTTTTTAGCACTGATATCATGGATCGGTTCATGTTAGCCGACCCCAAATTCTTTTGGGATTAAGGCTCGGATGTTGTTGTTGACCTAGAAAGAATGCATCTATTTTCAATCTAAGTGATACAACTAAATTAAACAAAAAAATAAGAAAAAGGTCAATGTTGGCTACATGAACATATTGGTTGCCACATGAAGTGCCAATGCCTCTAATTTATTTTTTAACCCTCAATCCAATGCATTTTTGGCATGCCACAACTCTTCTTTAAGTCTCCAGTGTTCCAAGACACCACTCTTTGTGCCACATTAACTTACCTCTTGATGGCGAATGTGCCTGGCAAATGCAGTCAGTTGTTCTCTTTACCTTATCTTCAACAGTCATTACACACGTTGGGAACACTACCTTTTTTAGTTCTACTACACATTCATCTTAAATCACTAAATCACACATATCTGCCACTCAAATTCTTTGAAGTCCATTCTTATAGTGATACTAAAAGAATCTCCTAAACAAACCTATCAAGAGCCCCAACCAATACTATTTCAAGCCTACGCCTCCTATCAGCCCCTCGAGAACACACCTTCATGGTGAGGACGTGCACATGCAGCAACAACATCCAACACACTACTAACTCGACCAGTTGTGTGCCCATTATTGCCAGTCTCACCCATTGCAATGCACCCTGCACATATCGGATGCTGTTGGCCATGAAACCCTACTCAAGCATACCTAAATTTGAAAGACCTAGCATCCTCTCCTTACAAAGTTTTATTTACACAGCCTGGAGCTCTTGGTCAGCGTCAACTTTCCAAGAAAGGAAGTATGGGACAATATAACACCACCACCCCCCCCCCCCCCCCATGAATACAAATATACTACGTAGGTGCCATTATTGTTGGGAACACTCTTTCACCATCAAAATAAACCGCTATCAGGGCATTTTGCACTACAGTTTCTCCATGATAAGGGCATTGAGTTTAAAGGCAGTACCACAGTAGAGCTAATGGCCTTCAAGAGGAGTAGCCGGCCATGAAGGAATATCCTTTTCTGCCCGTTTCAGGGCAGTACCATGTTCTTAGGCATGATTTTAAAGTTTTTGATTCATATCTTTACGTTGAGGTAGAAGTTACAACTCGGGTTATTTAATTAATGTTGAGGTAGGTAATCAACAATGAGTCACACATGTTCAACATTTTAGAAATCCTAGACACAAATTTCTTCAGATACGAAACACCCTACACCATGATATGTCTCGCTCATGAATAAAAGTTGGATTCCGAAATGTATGTAACATGTTGATAGGATAATCAATAAGCTATGGACGCTTTGCTTTATGTACACCAAAGATGACACCAACAAAATCTTTGTTCTCGAGGAAATGTTACATTGCTCATGTCTATGACCACTATAGCATGTCTATATGAACAAAAGATAGTGTAGGTGTACAACTTGGTGTACAAAAAGCATTTCTCAACAGTGGTAATGCTAACTTTTAAGATGCTTCTAAGGAGCTCATTAACCGAAGATGAGCTGAGTTGAAAAGACCGTACCACAACAAGTTGCCATATTTGACTTTTTTGATAAAAAAATGTTGACCAGTGCTTTTAATCAATATTTTTGAATGAAAAATATAAATTTTTTACTCTTATAAGAGTATTTTGAACAAAGAACATGTTAATAATATTTCAGTTTTTGTATAAAAATGTACCGGTGGAAAAACGTTTAACATTTCATACCAACTTATATAAACATTGATATCATTTACAAATATTGAAGTGAAATTAAACAAGGATATTATTAAAAAAACAAAGGAGACAGCATGATAGCTTCCTATGTTGAAAGACACACACAATGTGAAAATTTAAAAATGAGAACCAGATTTAAAAAATGTTTAGGGGCATCACCAAAGTTGCCAAAGCACAAAAGAAACAAAAAGGGGGACTCTTGAGTGACAGAAGCGGCATCTCCTTATTCTACAGTATCATATTGTCGAACAAAAGAAAAAGAGAGAAAATGTGTGCGTACCCACTGTGCGTCTCAATTGCCTCAATCTGTCTCAGCCCAATCCACAACCAAAGGGTAATCATGTGACCTGGAACCATGGCGGGCCCAAGAAAAGATGGAATCCCGAGGATCAAAATCTCCGCCCAGTGTGCATATGGCGCTGCAAATCCTATAGGAGCTGAGTAGTCGTGGTGAACCTTGTGAATCTTATCGTACCCCCATTTGCAATGCAAAAGCCTGTGAATCCAATAATTGGCGTAGTCCTCCACTAAGAAATACACTCCCAATTGGGACACAATTTCCCAGATTGAAGGAAGGGGCAAGCTTGTCCTGATCCCGACCATCTTGATTATCCAGAAAATAACAATTAACATAAACACAATTAATCACGCAATAAATTCCATAGAATGATCAAATATTTGGAAAGCAACAAACACCAAATGAGGGAGTACTTTGACAGACGGATAAGACAGGAGTTGGAGAGGGCCAACGACGAAGATGAACATGCGCATGACGGATTTGTAGCAGGCGAAGGCCTCGGCGAGGGTGAGATTGACTTTAGGCTGAATCTTGTAGCAATGGACGGAGTTCTTGAGGAAAAACTCGAGGAAGAGGTAGTAGAGCGGGACAACGGAGAAGATGAGGAAGAGGAAGAGGATGGTGTGGCAGTAGAGGAAGTAGTCAGATTTGGTGGCAGTGTAGTTGAACCAGAGAGTCTCCGCCGCTGTGAGGGGTCGGTGGATGGCGAATTCCGCCTCTTGGATGGTGGCGTACGGCAGCATTGCTCTGCCCTGGGGAGAGAAAGCGAGTGAGCTATGGATGGAAAGATCGAAAGAGGCTGAAAAAGGGTTGGTAGAATTGGGCAAAAAATAATGGAGTAGAATATGATGATGATCACAATCCGAAGAGAGCAGAAACAGTTGTGCAGATTCCTCCCTGACTGCCTACGCGTTAGAGTGGTAGCATAAATGAACTGAGGAAGGACCCACTTTAAGCTGTGTTTTCTGAAATGAACCAAAGCCCAGCTTCGATCCACGTGCTCTCATAGTAGAAAACAATGGAACATGGCTTTATGTAGCATCATTTATACGTAGTACATGAACTAGGCTATGGATGAACAAGTGTAATTTTCACATTTTTTAAAATAGGCTAAAGGGTCAAATAGGTACATGAACTAACTTTAATTAGCCTCTTTTATAGGAGATTCTGCCCGATCGTCTCTGATTGGGGAGGTTCCCGGTAAAAAATTTTGAGCATGTTCTTCATTAAGTCTAGTTTACACATATCAAATTTCAACTAAAAATTAAATTGGGAAGACAGTCAAATGATTTTCCGAAATGTACTGTGTCGTTTAACTGCACAGTTATCTTCCCAAAATCATTTGACTGCCTTTCCGGTTGAATTTTTAGCTGAAATTTGGTATGAGTAAACTAGACTTAATGAAGAACATGCTCAAACAATTTCATCAAAAATTCCACTGGGAACTTCCCCAATTGGCGACGGCCGGGCAGAACCTCTTATATAAGGGGCTAATTGAACACTTTAAGTAAGTTCATGTACCTATTTGACCTTTTAGCCTTTAAAATATGAACTCGGTTTGGTGATCATGTTTTTTGGTTAATCACCACTATTAGTCAACATTTTCATCAAATACGTAGCTTTTAATTTCGCGTACTGAATTGTGCAATAATCAAAATAAGTTACGGAAGTTATTGTACAAGATCATTTTAGCTATTTTCATCTATTTTTTACTTAAATAAGAAAAAGCTTTCAATTCAGCCACATCAGTTAAAACTTCATAAATTTCATATATAATCGTATGCTTCGGTCAATTTTGGATACTTCATAGTGAATGTAGGAATGACATATGAAAATATCTTTCATAGTATTAGTATCTTTACTTTACGAGGTTGTATTTGTGAGAGTAAAATAAAATATTTGGTTGAAAATGTCTTTAGAATCTGTTGTACAAAATGTTATAAATGCATCACCACAAATCCACGATGTGATTAGGGTGAGCATTCATCAAGGATCACCACAATATATATAGTAATATAGACAATATTCATCAAGCATCAAGGAGCATTGCAGAACATATGCTATGACTCCTTCAAAAACACATCATTTCTTACAGTTTATCCATCAAGTAACTACAAGAAAGGAAAAGTAAAGAATGCAGCTCACATAAATTTATTTCCTCAGTAAGCCAAAGTTGAATGCGAGTCAGATTTCTTGCCCATTTGGCCTGAACATCTTTACAGGGTACATTCTAAAAGATTTATGTATAGATTACAGATTATAAGCGGGTTTACTGGAGCTTTCATTGCATTATTAGTATCTAAAATTATCTGAAGAAGTTAAATATCTCCATGATCATATTAATAAATTACCAATGTCTAACTTTATTCAAATAATTTTTTTATGCATATAAGATGTCATTAGTGATAATTCTGACAACACAACTATTTGTAAAATCACAGCTAAGGAATGCAGTTGTTCATTTTTAACCTGCTAATCTTTAGAATATATCAGAGCATTTTATATCCATGCTAACAATAATCTCTACAAAATAATTAATGATAATAGTATCACACAAATTTAATCCAAGCATATATTACCTCATTATTCAAATCATTGAGTATTGCACTCAATTGTTGAGGAGATAGATTCTTTTTGAAAGCACCTAACAGAATATCAACTTTTCGTGTAAGTGTAGAAACTTGAGCTTGAAGAATGGGAACTTGTGGATCTTGTATGGGCACTTGTGATTGTTGTGAGGAAGAATCACATTCATCCTTCAAGATTGTAAATCCTACACAACGTATTCGTCCTCTTTTTTCTGGACCTTTCACTTTGGCTAAATCATCGTTTCTCCAATCAACGGTGTCTTCAGAATCTTGAGTGCCATCACTCTAATTCATCACATTATGAAGAGCTTCCTAAACATAGAGCACATTATGAATACACAATCAAGAGAGCAATGATCTGTTCACTTGACTCTCTTTCGGTCCAAACCGGCACTAAACATAGTATCAAATAGAAAAGACCAGTCTTAACTTAAATGATATAGACTAGACTATACACATTCAACCCACAAAGTACTAGTCCAAATAAACAAGTCCCAAGTATTGTAGAAGCAACTCAGGTGGGTGAAATTTGCCTCCGGGGCTAAAAAAACTCAGGTGGGTGAAATTATAACTAATTCAGCTGCCAAAAAATATTTAATGTTTCATAAAACTAGGACACACACACTTCGGATTAATCGTCATTTTAAATGATGATTAGTAAAAACCACCAGCTACGTGGTTTTTAAGACCAGTAAATCATCGGTTTTTTTCTAAAGACTTATGTCCAGTACAAAAACAGTAAAATCACCAAAAATTATTAAGCACACCATTCCAAGCGTCTCAATTGAAAAGAAAATAAATCCACACAACGTCAATTTAACAAACTGTTGCATAAGAAAAACAAGCTCGAAACATAGTACCATGATTGTTGTTGCTGCAGGATTGATAATAGTACCATCTTTTCGAGTTCGGGTTTAATGAATAATTTTCCACATGTTGGTAGTACACCATTATTCTTTGAAGCCTGTGGCAATTAAATATTAAAATAACTTAGATCTTGTAGCAAAAGGCAACTAAATACAAATATATGTCGAAGATAAGGGGTATTTTGGGAATTTGACTTCAAAGAGAGAGTATAATAAACAATATAATACAGAAAATTTGAATATTTGTTCCTGAAATGATTATATTTTACAAGTCACCAATAAGATTTATTACAAGCACCTCTTCTTTCACAACTCTAGCAAAAGACTTTGACCCAGTGACGTGTGGCTCTTGATTCTTCAACCGGCTCCTTTTTTTACTTCACACATTGCCTGATATTCTCAAATAAAAAGAAACAAAATATAATCAAAAGAGTTAGTGAAAAATATATTCTTATCTTTTTAATCCTGCAAAGTTGAAAAACTGTCAACTTGATTCTTCAATAAAAATATATTTTAACCAACATCTAATCACCTGGAACTCTGGATCAACCCAAGTCTTAACAAGCTCTTTAAACTGAGACTTGTTTACCCTCTTATCTTTCTCATTTTCTACCATTTTATCAACGGATAGGGCTGAATCATAATTTCGTTCTTTCAAAGTGTTTTTCCATGACTTCCACTTTGATCCCATATTCGCAATTATCCATTTCTTAACTTCTGTAGTTTCGGCTGGTAGGAATTTAAATTTCTCCTACATAAAAACATTGCTAGTTTAGAATCCATGCATGGAAGGGTTATTATTAGTGAGAATCAAATCCAACTGCATGAAATGATATGTATCAAAATAAAATTTGGAAACCAAAGATATGGTTAGATAAAACAAAGAAATGGATATTAAGCATAACAAGGACTTTGAAGCATCATATATATCCCTAGAAAACTAAACCAGCAAGGGGGCTCAGCTCAGGACCTCAGGTTAATGTACAAAGAACCTACTACAATTACCTTCACAATGCTCCATAGAGTTTCCTTTGATGTATTAGCAACGTCTCTCCACTCATGAAAGTTTATTCCAACATGATTTGACATTTTCACAAGTGTGCCCAAGAATTGAGTAAGTTCTTTTCCTTCTTCTCCTATTGGTTGCACCAAATCATTGAAAGTAATAGCTATTCTTGTGTCTCCTTTTAGCTCCCAAATCCCAAGTTTTTGCGTTGGACCTCGAACCTTCTTAGCAATACCTTTAAAATGGGATAGAAATAGTAAAGATTATGTAAATAAGTATTCCAATTAATTTTGAAAATTTCTGAAAACATAAATGACCTGATGCTTGGGAACTGTGCATATGTGCTGAAACAGATGTTTCAGAAGATTCTGGTTCATTTGTTGATGGTTGAGAGCTTTGTAAGTGATGGAGTATATGGCTCAGAGACCCCCGGCCCACAGACTCCTACTACTCCAACACAGGTCCAACAGGCCAAAGAAGCGCATGAGGCCCAAAACACCGTTGTCCAAGGTCAAAGGAACCCACGGTGCACTTGGGGATGCCTTCGGCACCATAGCCGAAGGCTCCAAACTCCAGGAGACAACTGATTTTAAGCATACAAAGCTACTTGGAGAAAATGGCATAAATTAGGAACCTTCGGCTACACAGAGCCTTCGGCCACAGGGGAACCTTCGGCTACATCGAAACCATCGAAGATTCCCTTTGGGGACAGACAACCACCGCATTTAATGTGGCGTCACATCCACCCACCGCATTTAATGCGGTGCACATGTGAATGCCAGTGCCACCCCGATTGAGGTGACCCCTCGGCCGTTAGATTATTGACACGTGTACTCTCGTCGCATTTATGACTGCTATAAATAGCAGTCCTTATTCACCTTGTAAAACACGCTGAGTTCATTTAATACATTTGACTCTCTCTCTTACTTGTTTGTTCTGACTTCTCTCTAGGTTATTACTCGAATAACCCCTCGGATAAGCTACCCCGAGTACATTATCCATCAGTAAGGTATTTGAACGAGGTTGTTGATATCTTCTTGAAGCATTTCTAGCTTTGCAATGCTCCCCAGGGCTTTGGTGTTGTCTTTGGTTTTCATTTGTCTCTAACTTTTCATTTGTCTTTACTAAGCTAGTATATGTTCTTTCTTTCTTTTTTGCTTTTTGGTTTTACAGATTTTTAATTTTATTTACTTTTTTCATCTTTGTTACGGAGCATTATTTTTACTTTTTCAACTTTTTATTTTGCGTGTTAATAATTGTCCGATGTTTAGGACGTAGTGACGTTAATTATTTTATTTCTTTCTGTCTAGTATTGTCAACAACAAAAATCTCATTAGGATTTCGCTTTATTTTTGGATGCACTCTAATGTAAATTAAGGAGTACTAATTAGGTTTTTGTATCATGGCTAACTAAATGTAAAAATTAAATATAATTTATTTTTATATTTCATCAAGGAACTTGACCTGGTCGTATTACTCAAATTTAACCTTTTTATACGATTTTTTTTTATAAAATTTGTTTTCATATAATCTGTTTTTATATGAAAAGCATTTTAAAC